GAAAAACCTAATGGATTGAACTTTCACTTTGGGTGACTTGACAACAAACCCTCTAGCAACAAAGTGGTTGGATCCACCAACGACAGGAAATAGAGTTTCTTAAAGAAAAATAAATAAAAAAATTTCATGGCCAAGATTGATAGATTTTTTCTTTCTGTTCTTTTGTTTACTATTATTCGTATTTGAACTAGAAGGCTAATGGGGCTGGCTTGGGCTTGAAAGTCGGTATTATGCTAAAAATAAGGAGCACAATAAACGTCCATTTAGGTCTCATTAGTCAAATAAGTAAGCAATAAGGATGAAAAACTTATATGTTTTTCTTCTTCTTCTTTTTTTTTTTGAAATTCCTCCTAAGCAAATTACCTAGATAAATTGAGTCATAAATGGGCTTGATTGCTTTGTGTACAACCGCCTAGATTATATTAATAAATTCATATTTTTGTAAACTTTATAAAACTAGTAAATACACACATGCGTTGCACGTGAACTATTTTTGTGCAACTATTTGAATTTGTACTTTTGTATCTTTCTATGTACATATCATCACATTAACAATTTTGATGAGTTATATATTCTCTCTCCAAAATAAAAATACTAAAACTATGTGTATATGTTTGTCATAAAGACATATAAACACCACACTCAATGCATTTTAAATAAAAAAAATAGCACACACAAAATTAATATGAATTAATATTGAAGTTGTTAGAATTAATGGGAAAAAAAAAAGGCAACCTTCCCATATTCTTTTAAATTTAACAGCATTTACCAATGATCTATGAAGTAAATAATCTCGTTCATATTAAAAACACTAAAACTAACATTGATGACTATAGTCTCAGTCAATCACCTTGGAGTAAGTTCTAAGCTCTAGGGGCCTAGGATGATGGAGTGGTGGTGGTGCAGGCTTTGGGCTAAGGTAGGCTTGGTAGCATCATTGCTTGAGAGTGAGATCAAAGATAACTTAGGTGGTGTAGAGCTTGGTTCATGCTCAAGATACCGTTACTCGGAGCTTTACATTATCTAATGGTCACAAAGAAACCCATTGATAGGTCATAACCAAAATCCGGGCGTAATTTACAAGTAGATCAAGTACTTTCCCTAGGTCAAAATTAACTTCCCCTAAAAACTCAAATACAAAATTTTTTGATTGTCTAAGAAAATCAAATATGGATTAACTTAATAAAAGATTCTAAAGAATGCATTCAAAATTTAGTAGAGTAAAAGTCCTAACCATAAGAGGGAGAGAAGGGGGGGACACCAATCTAAAAATTTGATGAGATCTAGTATCTGTTTCGATGAGATGTCTCTCCTATTTTTGCTTGAGCTTCAAGATAAAACTAGGAACATATGTCACAACATTTCATGGAATAATGGACATAACCATTTATTATAGAATAACTTTTGAAGAATGCCCCAGCTTCACAAATGGATAGGAGCTCGTTGCAATGACTCCATTGCCTCAAGTTTCCTCTTTGATTGCAGAGGACTTCAAAGAAAAACAATATGCTCTTTCGTCATGCTTGAGAAAAGGAACCTACTATTTATAGAAGCTAAAAATACAAAGAATGTGTTGAAGGAGAATTTAGTGCAGAAAAATTGCCACCAAAAATAACATATAATTACCCATTATATGTACTAGTTTATACCATATATGTTGTATGTCTTTCCACTCTTGCTTTTTTCATATGGCAAAGATATGTTAGTGATAGTCGATCACGACCTTGTAGCAAAAATATTCGTATGTGTTTTCTACCCACTATATGCATTTTATATTCTAACCTGGCTTCCCTATTTCCAAAAAAATAATTGTAGGATTTATAAACTATATCACACCAACACAAAATTCATCTTACTTAATCACTTGACTGGAAAAAGCACAAATGTTAGACTTGGCTGAAGTGGACTTCCAAAAACCAAAACAACAAATGATAAGGGAGATGAGGTTGGAACCCACAACCACTCCTTTCACTTCATTATATTCTACATATATCCTCAAGCAATCGGAAACACAAATTTCATTTTCTATGAATGAACTTGATTCCACTTCTTCCGTAAAACAATACACATGTATCATAGAAGAAAAGAAGATAATAGGATTAATAAATAGTATATTTGGTGACGAATTAGATATAATCTTCTTTTTATTTTTATTTTTATGAGGGTGATGAATTAGATATAATTAGTTGAATATTTTTCGATGTGTTGCCTATAATCAACTAATTATTTTTAACTCTTTGTAAGTAGATCACATCCATAGGTGTATTTGTGTTCTTTAACTAAACTGGGCCTAAATCCAAAAAGGGGAAAGTAACCAAATGAAAAGTAAGTTAATGGTTAAGGAAATCAACCAATATAAATGTTAAAACACCCAAAGAAAAAGATAAAAAATAAATTCAACGCTAATTGTGTACGAGAAATTAACATAGATATAAAAAAATGATGTGAAAAATAAAATTATTGAAACTTAATGATAGGATAATAATCGTGTAATTGACCTTTATGGTTGTATCAAGCTATGAAATTTTGATAAGAAACATAAACAAAAGGCAAGGTCATATCACACACAGAGTTAACACAACCGCCAGAACAACATATCAAAGCCATAGCTCTTTTTTTCCTTCCCCATATACAAGCTTCGTTGATCAGTCATTCCTAAATACTTTGTCAATCCCCAAAAATATGAACCACTAATAAGAGGTGACATTAAGATAATAAATAACAATGCCATATAATTAAATTATAATAAAACAATCTGATAAAATTTAACACATCAAACTGAATGTCGTGCAAATACATTCTTTCTTTGTAAGACACTTTATTCAAGACAATTTTTAGCTGGTAGCATGCCTGATAAATAGCCTGGATTGTGTTGTGATTTCAATACAAATCTGATCAGATTTATCAAAATTTGGTAAAATATATTGTGGGATGATTTCTTTTAATGATCCAACACATGAATAGAAATAAATGGGACTTTTAACCGGGTCAATCATTCACATTGACCACACCTATAAGAACACATGTGATAGACTTTATATTATAGGACTACATTACTGTTTGTCTAAAAATAACAAACCTCTGATTTTTTTCCCATCCCCAAGACCCGATTCTCCATTTTAATCCCAAAAATAATGAATTGAGTTCATATAGGCATTTTAGACACTGCTAGTTCTTGCTATATTTTTAGTTATTCCACTCATTTCATAAAGTATTCGACCTGGTACAACAATAGTTACCTAATATTCATGGATCCTTTCCCCTAACCCATACAACTGGTAACAAATAAATTACTACCCAATGCTCACATAGCATTCGAGTTTATTCAAGAAAACACTTTATGCTTTTCGTGTGAACTCCATAAATTTTGCCACTAGGCAGGCCAATTGCATGTGTGGCCCCAACACATTTTCTATAACCAATCATAGCACAAATCCTACAATCTTGAACAACTTGGACATGCAGGATTTGATTTTGAAATTTGGAATCACACAATGAATGACAAAAACTCCAGTCTGTATAATGGCACATGCAAACAAATCCCTAATAAATTCATCAGAACTTGGTTGAATTAAATAAAAGATGAAAGATTGGTTATTCAAATCTGTCAAATATTAATGTAATTGTCATGTCTTGACCACTTCTAGAAGTGCTGTTTGATTACTAAACCTTGAAAAGAGTCAACTGCAACATCAAAAACCAATTTAAGAAGCCTTTAAGGAAAATATAACGTCTTATGTAGTAAATCAATCAAACTACTATCACCCACCTTCTTAGGTGTTGTCCAATGAAGAGGAAAGGCATGAATCCAAAACATATTTGATGGACAGAATGAAAATTCAGAGACGGGCCATCTATCTTCTTATTGGGTTATGGAGATGGAGAAGATGACGAAGATCACCGGCAACGATCTTCTTATTGGCTTTAGTCGCCGTAGATTTCTGAATCACTGACAACAATGAAGTCGTGTTTTCTCAATTGTTAGTTTTGACGTGGTGTTTAGATTTATTTTATGTGTATATGAAACAGAGTATATGAGGGTTGTTGATCCTAGGGTTCATTGTGAAGTCATCGACAGGTTGACAGAAAAGGGCAACCACCCTCAGAAACTCCAAACTCCCTGTGATTTATTGATATATTGAATGTATGGAATAGCAACCAAGCAGTCAATAGCTGAACAATCAAAATAACTGTGATCATTTAAAACAACATCATTGTTACTATTAACCAAAAAAGATAGGATTGTGATTAATTATTTTATTAGGGATATTTTAGTTAAACAAAAGTTTTTCATTTTTGTTGACATTTTATAGTAGTATATAGATATAGGTAAAAGATCCTTAAGTTGGACACTAAGGAACTAAGGCCAATATAGTATCAATTGGAATTCTCCACTGCCAGGCACAGATAGTCATTTATGGGAAAGATTTTTAGGGATTGATATCAAAACAGACTTCTAAGAAATAGAGTGAGACTTTCTACTCTTATTTTTCTACCTCATACAATTGGGATGCAAATCAAATATATGAAAAGAACTAACTATAAAGGAAAAAGTATCCACAAGGGTAGGGTGAGGTATTTGAATTCTCGAAGTAGGGCACTTCCTGCCCTTTCCTAATTGTAGGATTGTGGAACACGATAATTCAAACAANAAAGTATCCACAAGGGTAGGGTGAGGTATTTGAATTCTCGAAGTAGGGCACTTCCTGTCCTTTCCTAATTGTAGGATTGTGGAACACGATAATTCAAACTCTCATTCTTTGCAAACTCCAGAGTCGGATATACATGATTTGGCTAGGGATATTTTGAATCCTAACTTAGCCACCCCTTATTAGGTATTCTTAGCTAGACCTATCCTTTTCTAGAACGAACGAGATCATTGCCTAGGATCTACTGCTCTAACTATATCTACTTGTGATTTACCTGAGTTGGTTTGGCTTCTTCTGTAACCCTTGTCGTGGATGGTTATGTGTAAACCATTGTAAATCAAAAAGGAAAGCCTATCGGAGGGCATTTTCGTACCCATTAAAGTCAATAGAGAAGTCTCTAAACTCGCTATGGTTTGGGTTCTCACTCACATCGTCCGTCCTAGGGACTCCATTACGTTGTTCGCCCTGTTAGGTAATGAAAATCGTGGTACTTCATTAATTTAAGTCAATTTTGGGTTATGTATTGTGTGACAAAACTCGTTAATAAATATATATTTTCTCAAGAATCTTGCCTGCATGCATGAAAAATTATATATATATATATATATATCATACTACCTATAGGTACGCAAATCTGTAAAACTTTTGTTTTCCATTTTTGGCCATCACTAATTCTTTTAAGTCAATTTTATCCTTCTAACATATATATAACCTACAAAACAGAACCCTTTCCCTGCAGTAAATGAGTCAGTTGGCCATCAGAAGTTGAACCGCTTCATCTTCCATGGCTTTGTTAGCATCACAGATAGCTAAGACATTCAATTTGCTTTTTGAGACCTTATCGTCTTCCGGCTTGGCCATTACGTCGATCTTCTTCTTCAACGACAACGAAGGAGTATCGAAAAGAATTTTACGACAATGTAGTTTAGTGTTGCTGCATCAACAATTGAACAAAAATGTAGCTTTCAGTATCGGAGACTATGTTGGATCAAAACAGAGAAGAGAAGTCTTCTCTTGAAACCATTTCCAATCTTACTAAACACAAAAAAAAAAAAAAAAAATCAATCAATCAATCAATTATTTTTACTTTCCATCCCTCTCTTACCAAACATAAATAAGGGAAGGAATGATTCCTCCCTTGAAGAATATGAAATATATCATTATCACTTTCCATATTTCTATTTTTTCATTCACCCTACCAAATGGATCATTAGTTACGCATGCAAGTATTGTATTAGAATTTATGGCAAGAAAGAGAGAAATATTGGTGTTTAATCTATATCTATACTACTAATAAATATACTTTAACATAATTTTTTTTTTATTTTTACTCTGATAAAAAATTGAAAAGACCACTATATCCTTCTATAATTAAATATAAAATTAACCATCACATCCTTATATTTTTAAATCTCTAAATTATTTCTAACATCTCTTTTAGTGATCTATTCTCCACATATAAATATCAATTTCTATAAAAAAATTTGATTAACCATGTTACCTATAAAACAATTATGCACTATTAAAATTTTCAATAAATTGTTCAAAAATTCTACAAAAATTTTATCAATTTAATATTACTCATTTTATATACAAAGATAACATTGTGCCTACACGCATACGTGTGCGCTTGCACACACACACACACACACACATATATATATTTATATATAATTTTTTTAATTCAATTTATGTTACATCAGCATAATTCTTCAATTATAGTAAGCTTTCCAAGTTGTATTAAGATTTTGCGTGAAAATAGATTGTAATTTATTCTTAATATGCTTTATAATATATACTATGAAGTAATATATTAAATTTTATCCGAATATACCTGACTAATTCTTAATTACAGTAAAGTTTCAAATATGATTAGTATAATGACAATTATTTTTATTTTATTTAATGAATTATAAGTAGAATCCTAATAAAATGAATTTCAAAAAAAATTATTTTTCAAACATCACTAAAAATCACTCTAAATCACAAAATTGTAAAAAAAAAATAGAACTCTAACTATTTTTAAATCTTTTTTCTTACAAATAGAATAACAAATCTATGAAATACATAAAGTCTTCATAATTATATAATAAAGTATGAGCGATGAAAAAATAAGTTTGATAAATTTAAAATAATATTTAATTCAAGCAAACATATATCTAACGCTTTATTAATTAATTTTTTGTACGAAAATTATTAACGTGTAATACATGTACTGCATTTCTAGTATATATAAATAAAGTAAATACTAGTGAACATCCCGAACAGTGCACAAAATATATTATCTCTTTCTATTATCACTTTACTACCAAACCCTCCAAAAATCTAACCTTGGCGTAAGAATTGTCTCAACGAGATATGAGAAGATAAGTGATAAATAGTCATATATTTATTTCTAAAATTTATTTCTAGACTCGAGCTCGTGATCTAGCCTTGGCGTAAGAATTGTCTCAACGAGATATGAGAAGATAAGTGATAAATAGTCATATATCAATTTCTAAAATTTATTTCTAGACTCGAGGTCGAAATATATTTCTAAAATAGATATAGCCTTGGCTTGGTAACTACAAGTCCAACCTCTTCATATGTATATTGAGACTCGGAATAATCATATGTAGCTTAAGCTTAGTGTGTTTGTTGTTGTGTGGTAAGTCTTCCTTTTTGTACAATTTAAGTCGAACTAACAGGAAATGAGTTGGTTCAGAGAAGACACGATTCAACCGTTCTGAGCTCAAGTCTATATCAAGGACTCACATGCATCTAACATCGGCTGCCCAACTTTCGGATAAGGTTCTGGTACCTTATCCAAATCAATTGAAAAATTATGAATTTTAGTTAATGATGTTTGAATATAAAAATTTGACCTAATTTATTAACATAATGATGTAGTTTCATAAGAATCATTGAATCAACACTAAGTTTTAATATTTGACGGGGCTTGTAGTCAATCCAAAAATCACAGTGAATTAAGTCAAGAAATTATATCAATAAATTAGGTCCTAATAGCATTGCTCAATAAATTTATATATATATTACGTTTTTATTAGACAAAAAACATAAAAACTGGCACTAAAAGGTTTTTTGTATCATAATTGGACCCCAAGACTTTCTACCATTCACTAACTAGCTTTGTCCAGACACATATTAATGACTAATGCCATTAGAACTTAAAAAATTGATCTAATTTGTAGGCCTAGTTTCCGATACCGTAGAATTACGGTGATGCTAGATCCCTTTGTATGATTAAAATTATTCGTGTTTAATACCAATTCAAATTCCTATAATATCGATATTTCGTGATAAAAGATGGCAACTCGGATTCCTTACAAAAAAAAATAAAAAAGAAGATAACTTGTACCAATGGTCCCTGATGTTGAACTTTAGTCCTTAAAGTTTTAATTTTGTCAATTAAATCTCCAAAGTTCACACGTTAGACCAATATAATCCCTCGCTCTAATTGGCGTTTAAATCAATAATGATAAATCATCACGTGATATGCACGTGATTGCAATTAAGGACAATTTTGTCATTGCATAATGTAATGTACTTAGTAAAATATATATAGATATGATATGATATACATAATATTTATTTAAATGTCAAGATTTAGGGGTGTTCAAATTTTTGACCGGCCGCAATTTCCTATCTTACCCTATCCTAAAAATCGGTTAGCCGCAAAAATCGAGTAGGAATGTGGAAGAGTTTTTAGTCTTTCGATTAAATCGGGTAGGAATGCAGAATAACCATTCATTTTCGCATTCCTACCCTACCCTACCCGCATTAATTAATTTAATTAATTTTATTTATATATATATAAAATAAAAAACCCTAATTGCTAACATTCTACTCATCTATTCGAAGACATCCTTTGAGAGGCGCCTCAGCCACAGTCCCACTGCTCCTCCTCAGCTCCTCCATTGTTAAGGACCTTCAGCCTTCACTTCAGGTACTGTGTGTGTGTGTGTGTGTGTACGCGATCTGGACCGTCTGGTCTGATCGCGATCTCAGATCTGGTGTGGCCTGGACCGTCTGATCTCAGATCTCAGAAAAGGTATCTATGGTTCACTGCTTTAAGCAAGCTTCTGTGGGGGCTGGGGGTGATGCTTTCGGCTCTGAGGTGGTTCTATGGATAACGTTCTGGAACTCCAGGCTCAGATGGTGATGCTTTCGGCTCCAAAAGTATCTATCAATGGTAAAGTCCAAAAGTAATCTAAGGGCATAACAATAAGAGATGTTCCACAGTTACGTCTTCCTCTCCAAAAATTGAACATGTAGGGTTTTGAGAGAGTTTACTTTCTCCATAGTGCCTATTTGGTTGCCAGTTCTCCATTTGTAACCTTTTATAGAAAAGAATAATTTTTTTGAGGTGCTTTTAAGCCCCAAATCATTTTCCATAGAAAGATGAGCTTCTATAGAAAGATGAGCTTGCAGTTGTGTTATATTGATGGGGACCTGAAGATTGTTTCAACATGTGGTAGCCACTTCTCACGGTGTAGTAGCTTGAATTTGTATGGGACCATCTTAGAATATCCTGTTGCAGTGTTTTCTGCTAACATAATTGGATTTGCAGCCACACATTTTGATCATATTTTGAATTAGATGATCTAAAAACTATTGTTTGAAAAATCACAAAATAAAATTAAACAAGTGATATAGTTTTATTAATTAAAAAGTGCAGGTACTGAATCTTGTCCCTCAACCTGGGG